TTAATGTTACTAAATTAGCCAAATTAGCCTCTAGCTGCTGTTCTCCACTAACTGACAGAACAGGTTGACTTTTTAAAGAGAGGAACATTCTAGCAATATATTAATATAGCAAGTTTTGCTGATAAATATTACAAATGTTTATTTTATTAAAATGTAAATTATGTTACTCTACGGCAGTTTTCACAAGGCAGACGAACTTAGAGTGGTTACAATCATCCGGGTTTAAATCGCGCTCAAATTGATTTGATTTTGACGCAATATTTTCACTAATGCTCGCAGGCGGCTATGGTAAGGGGCATGACATTTCCCGAGTAGGCGCCGAGTGGTGCCAATCACAACACACACTGGCCCAGCTGACCAATCACAGCACATTTTGTATTTCAGAAGGCGGGCCATCATTTGATACAGGAACTATTCGAGCCGTTCATGCCAGACTGGGGAGAGAGGTGTTGTAATAATGTAAAATATGTGAAAAATAATGTGTTTTTCGAACAACCTAGTATGAGAGCCTGTTCTAGTACACCCCCAAAACAAAATCAACTTTGAAAAAGAGCATAATAGGACCCCTTTAAAACAAATGAAAATTACATTTTAAAATGTTCAAACAGAGAACAGTTATTGTAAATTGTTATATTTCAAAATTACATTAAAAACAGTAATACTGAGATCAAATAAATGCAGCTTTAGTGAGCATATGAGACTTCTATATTTTTATAGAGACTGCAGGATCAGATTTATATTTAAATGGAATATAACAATAAATAATGCATTTTATGTATCACTAGTATGTCTTCAATAAGAATCTTGACAGAAATAGTGATGTTAGTAAGCTGGCTTGATCAGAAAGCAAAGAAGGGTGTCAACATTATTCAGTAAAATAGAATTCTTATCAAAGTGATAAAATGTTGTGTTGCAAAAAAATGAGTACACCTTCCTGAAAGTTACTAAACAAAACTAAATACATTTTTTCCGGTGCAAGTGAAAGGCAATTTTTGATGAACAGGCAAGTATGTTGAACTAGAAACTTTTAATTTCTTGACAATTAAGAGTGTTATATAACTGAATTATACTCAAGACTTATGCGGACAACAATGAAAGCACTTGGGACCTTTTTTAAGTGTGAAAATATAGAAAAGCAACACAGAAATAAAAAAAACAATGGACTTGTGACAAGGCCCCTGAAATAATCATGCCTTCACTTTAAGCTTTCAGCGATTTTCTTTGCTAGGAAAAAAGCAGGAGCAAGTGCTATGAAAAAGTGAGTTCATCTCATACAGTAAGATGCAACGTGCTGAAGTGAAATGCATGGTCCTTGTCTACTCCAGAGCTACCTATTGTAGCCAAAGAACTTGTTTACCTCATTTAACCTTTTTCAAGGTGTATATTTACAAAATATAGACCTCTGGGAATCCATAATCTGGTCTCATGAGACCATAGTAATCCTTCTGGATCTAACAGCATACAAAATGTTCTGGTGTTGCTTGAGGAGGAGTGTGGTGAGAAGTGCCTGGTTGCCACAGTGAAGTTCAGTGGTAGTAAAGCTCTTCTATAGGGATGTGTGAGTGCTTGAGGTGTGAGCAAGTTGTGCTTTATATCAATGCTGTCATGGATTTACAGACCACTGTGTGATGCAATACAAAAACTGGAAACAGAAGATGCTATGCTAACCTCTCCTCATTCCCTGCATTGTTGGGCGTTTTTTTTCTTTCTTTTTTTTTTTCCTTCAGTGGATTTCACCCAACCGCAATTCTCTTGAGCATCTGAACAGGATTCTGTAGAGATGAGCTGAGCAACACTCTCCATGAAAGATCAGGGCATTTAAGGAGATTGTCCTTCAGAAGTGAAACAGGATAGATGTGACAATTTGTCATGAACTTTTACACTTTCTGCCAAGAAGGGTCACAGCGGTATAATTAAAGTTAAAGAGGACACACCGAGTATTAGATTATTACATGTTAGTTGAATTTAATCAGGGGTGTACTAATCTCTACAACCCTTCATTTAAAAATTGGACAATTTACTTATTTTACAAATATACATGACATAGGCCTATTTATGTTTTTATTAAATATATAATGCATGTTTAATACATTCCATTTTTACCATTTATATTGAGTTACCTAATTTATGTTGAGTACTGTGTGTGTGTGTATATTTGTATATTTATATTATATATATTTGTACAGGTGGAGACGTGCTGATATCGCGTTTGGTCTCGTTCTGTATGGCGTATCTTGTCAGTGTCTGCGCTTGCTTGGCCATTTGTTGTGGAGAAAATAAGGAAAGTGTGTCCAGCTGAATTAATGTAGTATTTTGTTAGAAGGGTATAAAAAAAAAAAAAAGCTTAGTTTACCGCGGTAGCGGTCGTGTGACGGCCTCCTCGTGTGCAGACCGAAGAGTGTAAAGACCATCGACTCCACCGTGCGACTCCACCGGGCAGGGACACCGGCAAATGATTGTATCGCTTTTTATTTCTCCTCTTTCCTATTACTTGTTTCGCTTCTGTTTCAGTTTTTATAACCATTTCTTACTATGTGTAAATAAGTTGTTGTTTTTTAACATGCGTGTTTGGCAGTGTTATTTTTTAGGATTACTGATAAACTACTGTCATTTGATTTGTATTATTTGTATTTGTTACTTATTTTAATTTTAGTTAAATTATGTCTGAATTTATTATGTCTGTATAGGTCTTTTATTAAATATTTTGAATTGTTTTTAGTTTTATTTTTTGTTTTTCATTTAAATGTTAAGTTTTGAAATTTTGTTGTATGCATTTGTCATTTTTTTAATTTAATCTCTTTATTTTTAAAATGTGTATAGGTAGTATTTATAAAGTTTTAGCTTTTAGTTTTGGATCTGTTTTTAGTTGTTTTAATACTACAATTGATTGCTTCTGTTGTCCTCATTCGTAAGTCGTTTTGGATAAAAGCATCTGATAAACGACTAAATAAATAAAATAAACATACATTGTAGCACAATACATCTAAAAAAGTGATTTTATATATATATATATATATATTTAGAAAGTATATTAAATGTAAATAAAGTGTCCACTTTAATGTTTCAAATAACTGTGAAAATAAAATGTCAAAATATGGGTGAAATAATGTTCCATATTTTGTGTACCATTCAGTCTAATAGATGTATTTATGTAAAAAACATCCTTCTTCTGACCTGTACTTATTAAAACACATAAAAGAAAAAGCGATCATACTAAATTATATTAAAAACGAATTGCTGACAAATAGGTAAAACTCGAGTAGTGGCGCATAGATTGGTAAAGATTTAAGAGACAATTAATTAGTTTTTGGGGTGTTCCCTGTGATCCTTAAATTGAGTCTTTTAACGACATCTTTAATGATTCTTGTTCTAAATACGACTGACAAGATTAGCCTACATTTCAGTAGTAAAAAAATTACAACAACGTATATATTGTTGACAGTTTTTGCTCAGAAAAAAATCTAATTAAACCGGACATATTCTAATGTATGAAAAAAATAGCTTGATTTAGGGTGTCAAAAAAAAATAACAGGTCCAAGCTGTTTGAGATTTTTTGATCTCAAGAGTATGCAGTTGCTGACTTACTCTAATGCAGTTACTACACAGATAAAACATAACTGTGATGCATCAAACTAGCAGTGGACTTTCCATGGATCTAATAATAAAGCACTCAGTTTCCTCAGCTGTCAGAACAAGCTTGTCAACGTGAAAACACAGGGGCATGATCTCAGATCAGAGATCCACATAATACCCCTCGATGACGGTCACACATATTGTAGACTATGAGCCGACTGTCAGCACCGTAGAGCCGTTTGATTGTGATGCCCAAAGATGTTGTCTAGGTAGGCAGCTCACTTTTAAGATACAGGCTTTCTCTTACTCATCCTGCGGTGAAGTATCTAGTTCTCCAGCTAACGACGCCTTTACAGCACATTTCCGCGTGGCTTCAAGTTTAAACACAACCTCATATTGATTTAAAGCACAAGCACAAGGCATTGAGATGTGAATGAAGCACTAGTGAACTTTGTGAGCACCTCGTGTGGGTGTGCGCGGGGCATGTTTTCCTTTCGGTCCGGTTCAGCTTGAAACACGCCGCCTCCAAACCACTCCATCTCGCCGCTCAGCTCTGCCCTGAAACCGCGGACGTCTCCTGCTGTTTATATCGCTCACGATCCGAAAGACACTCGCAATTCTCTCGTATGTACGCGAGCAGAGAGAGTTGTTCTCAGGTTATAACACCAGCAGTCTTCTTCTTCTTCTTCTTTTAAATTTAATGGCGGTTGGCAAACCAGCACTTTAACAAATGTTTCTGCTAGCGCCTCCGCTTTTCCACTGTCTGATATCACAAGTCTTTCTTTATATGCTAATACAGGTATGCTGCTATTTCTTTGCTTCCCTAACACCAGCAGTCCTCTCTGCAGCTCTTTTTTAGCTCCTTATGACAACTTCCGTGCTCTGACGCACGCACTCGTCACGTGATGTTAGACGCCAATCACACGACAGACACTATTTAAAATTGAACATTATTTATTTATTTATTTACAAATGTCATATTTTTATATTAAATTAGATTTGTTCACGGATTGATTCAGTGGCCATTTTGGAGCAAATTTGGAGCAATAAACATTTGGAACAAAAACAATAAATAAATAAATACATTTGTATGTTTTCGTAATTGGTTGCGAAAATATAACAAAAATATATAAAACTGATTCTTTATTTTTAAATAATTAGTTTAAGAAAAAAAACTGTTTCTTATCTTTTTTTTTTGACCTACAGAACTTTACATGAATTCTATTCCTAGATGAAGTATCACCCTTCAACAAGAGGCTGATGAAAAAACAAATCTGTTCATTTAGATCCATAAACCCCAGACTGTACACTGTCTTCATCAAATCTTCATAATGTAAATTTGAAAAACAGGTCTCTTTTGAAGAGACATTATGTAAAAATAGTGGGGAAATGTTAACAGTGCTGAACAGAAAAAAAGTTTGAGTGTAGCTTAATTTATACTAAGGGGTCATATAATATATGATAAATAATACATGTGCAATTTAAATTATAACATAGATTTTACACATCAAAAACATATTTAAAAAAAGGTTTTTATAACAAACCACACTATCTGTACATTAATAATAAGAAGAAGAATAAAAAGAAGAACACTCTTATTATTATTATTATTATTTAGTGCTGTCAAACGATTAATCGCATCCAAAATAAAAGTTTTTGTTTACATTATATATGTGTGTGTACTGTGTATATTTATTATGTATATATTTATTTATTTATTTAGTCATTTAGCAGACGCTTTTATCCAAAGCGACTTACAAATGAGGACAATAAAAGCAGTCAAAACTAACAAAAGAGCAACAATATATAAGTGCAAATGACAAGTCTCGGTTAGCCTAACGCAGTACACGTAGCAAGGTGTATATATATATATATATATATATACATATACATATATACACCTTGCTACGTGTACTGTGTTAGGCTAAACGAGACTTGTCATTTGCACTTATATATTGTTGCTCTTTTGTTAGTTTTGACTGCTTTTATTGTCCTCATTTGTAAGTCGCTTTGGATAAAAGCGTCTGCTAAATGACTAAAT